TGTATTTCAAGCATAGCTGTGCCCTGGTGTCTATTTAAGGGGCTGTACAGGAAAACCCAGAAGGGCTTTGCAGAAAATGGAAAGCTCACCGAAGCGGCACTCAACAGAGAGGTAACAGGGTGACTTAGGAGAAGGGTACCGGGGGGGTTTAGTCTCCCACCGATGCAGGACAGACAGAGGCTCGAGTCTTCCAGAAGTTTGGTCTACCTCCTATATAGACCAAAGCTTAAGGAGGCCTGGTCGACCTCAACACAAAGCAAATAGCTGTTTTTCCGGAGGGCTAGTCTACCAAACCTCCCCCAGAGGCCTCAACTATCTCCGTGTGCCAGGCAGGTAAACCAGACCCCCAAATCTTCCAGAGGGCTAGTCTACTTCTCTAGGTAGACTAGACCTCCCTTGAGGACTCCAGTCTGGATGCCCAGGCATTTGTGCGGTAATGGATCAGTGCTATTCAGGCAGTGCTGTAGAATGGGATATGAAGCAAGGATGGGAAGAAAATTCGGTGGAATCTAAGAAGAAGGCAACACAATTAAGGCCCTCGATCCCACCTCCAGCTTTCACGCAGCCCCGTCTCCTTCAGCTCCTCCATCCTCCATCCTTCCTTCTGCCTCCGGCTTCCATCTCGAAGCCTCCAAGGGCCCCAAAGGCTCGGCTCGCCCGCCCGCCTCGTGCGAGCGTCGGAGGGCACAGGCGAGCAGGAAGCCTCCCCCTGACAAACTCTTCTGCCGGCTAGGAAAATTAGAAGTGACTGCCGCGGGCAGAGGTCGGTTCCTCGGAGCCGCTCCGGTGGGACAAAGGATGTGCGGGAAGCAGGCTGCGCGCACCCCAAGAGGCCTCCCGAGCTCTAATTGAAGGGGGGGGCTCAGTAACAGGGGTCACGATCTCTTTGTGGAAGAGACATCTGACATACAGAGTGAACCCCCCCCCCCCGTGTGCGTGGAAAGCTGGCCGTTGCCCACACAAGAGAAATGCCAGGGATTTCTCATGGTTCCATATGCTGAGGCTGAAGACAAATTTAGCTGCGCATGCACGCACGCACGCACGCATACACACACACCGTTCCATATGCTGAGGCCAAAGACAAATTGAGCTGCGCACGCACGCACGCACACACACACACACAGAGTGTTAATTTCCGGGTTGAATTATAAAAAATCTTAGCTCTGAGAGTGCTGGTCTTAGACTATGAAACAGGAGAGGATGGTCAAATATCAGGCAGGGTGCCACACCTTGTTTTTAGAGCTGAGAAAAATTGTGAATGGCAACGCCCAGAAGCATCCAAGTGGAACGGCTGGGGGATTCTGGGCTTTGTAGTAACAACCATCACGTGTCATTAAAGTCATTTCTGACCCTTTCCAGGATTTTCTAGCAGGTGATGCTCAGAAGCGGTTTCCGCCTTGCAGCTGGCCCAAGGCCCCCCAGGCTGGCTCTTCTCCTGGAAGGCCCCACGGAGTCTCCAAGTTCCCGACTTCTGGCTCTGCAGCCAGAGGCCTAAACCGCTGGGCTACCCAGCCCAGCCTTCTGGGCTTCATAGTCTTCCAAAATGGCTTCCCACTTCCCGTTCCCAGAATCCATCCCCCAACAAATGTGGCTGCGGTCTGTTCTAGCTGGGAAATCCTAGCACAGCAGTTCAAGGAAAAAAAACGGGGCCAGCCCATTCCAGTCTTTCATAGCTAGGATGCAAGTTGGGGAGCGGAAGGCTTTGACAGATCATAATTCAGTGGGAGAGCAGAAAGTCCAGTTCTTTTAAAGCAGGAAGCCCCCTGCCTTGGGCATCTCAAGGCACGACTCAGAAAGACCCATCCATGAAACCCTTGGGAGGCCTCCTCCGGACAGGGCTGGTGAGATGGGATGGCGTGTCCCCATAAATCACAGACCGGCCTGAAGTCTCCTCCTTCACTGTCTGTTTAACTGAGATCACCTTCCCCTTTTTCTCTGACCCTCTGCTCACAGCCCACTGTCTGTTCTCGCAGGATAAGAGTAACATGTAGCCCGGCTCCCAGGCTGTGGGAAGCTTGAGAGGGGATCTGCTGGAGCCATTTCCCTGAAGGACAAGAAGCAGCAGCAGCAGGAGGAGGAGGGTCCCTTTGATGAACAGATGTGCCCTTTCTCTTGCAGGCTCTGATGTCCTTGTTCGTCCTCTCCTCCAAGGACGGCTGGGTGAACATCATGTACGACGGCCTGGACGCCGTGGGCATCGACCAGCAGGTAAAAGCGGAAGGTCCCAAGAGGGCGGCTCGGGAGGAGTGGAAAGGCTTTCTCATACCTGGCAGCAGGTGCTGTCGGATCAGAAACACCCCAGGCACCGAGTTTTTCAGGGCCAAGATCTGAGAATAAGGGGTGAGGGTCTCGGTGAGGTCACTGAAGAAGGTCAGGCCAGGGAGGAGAGAGGGTTTGAAGGAAGGCTTCCGGATCACACATTAAATGGGTTGAATCTGACTAAACAAGCGATGTAGCAACCCAGTGCTGGGGGAAGATCTATTTTTATGCTACTGATATAGTGTTCAACAAAGGTTGGTATGAAAGGCCTCCCTGTAAAGTCATGTTTCTAGTTGCCTCCCAAACGAAAGCAGGGAGAGAGCGGTAGCTGATTCCATCTCTTCAGGGCCACCACGGGGAAGGCCCTGGCCTCTTGTCCACGACTTTTGGGAAGAATGAGATGTCACCTCGCTCAAACGTCACCCTCTCCTCCTCCTCCTGAGCCACCAGCCCTGAGAGAGGGGGACTCCTTGCTTGGAGACCCTGGGGTGCCGAGGGGTCCCTTAACGCCCTGAGAGCTCTTGGTGGCTGGGGAACCCGGCGACTTGCAGTCCTGGAGACTCGTAGGCGCCACACCCATCAAGCGCGGTCGCCACGTCGTCTCACGCTCTCGCCTTCGAACGTCGTCGCCCCTTCCTTCCTCATTGTCTTTCTCTCTCCCTCCCTCCCTCTCTCTTCTGCCCCCCCTGGCCCGCCGCCAGCCCAGCCAGAACCACAACCCCTGGATGCTCCTCTACTTCATCTCCTTCCTCCTCATCGTCAGCTTTTTCGTCCTCAACATGTTCGTCGGGGTGGTGGTGGAGAACTTCCACAAGTGCCGGCAGCACCAGGAGGCCGAGGAGGCCCGGCGGCGCGAGGAGAAGCGTCTGCGGCGGCTGGAGAAAAAGCGCAGGAGTAAGGCGATATACATGTCTGGTCGGTAGACAGAGCGGTACAACTCACAATCTTTCTCATCCTTGCCTGCTTCGGAAGCAAGAAGCATCTCTTTTTTTTTTTTCCTTTTTTTTTTCGCAATCTTTCTCAGCCTTGCCTGCTTCGAAAGCAAGAAGCATCTCTTTTTTTTCCTTTTTTTTTTTCCTTCCAAATTCTTAATTTTGCTTTGGTCATGGAACAGAAGGTGACTTTTTTTTTTCCTTTTAATTCCATTTTTGGAGATGCTTTAAGGGTCAGAGGTGACCGTCAACCTCCCCTGCCCGTTCCTCTCTAGCACACTGAACCCAAACCTAAACGATATAGGAGCGATTGAGGGTGAAGATCCATCTCCCCCCCCGTGCCCAAAATGGTTTGCCACTTCCTATCGTTCTTATAAAGCCCTTGATCAGATTCGCTCCTCAATGAGATCACATCCACCACCAGCCCGAGGCCTAATTATAACACTCGATCTGGGCGATCGTTTGAAGGCCAACTGATTTGGTTTAACGGTGCCTAAATGTAGAGTACCATATATTGGCCAACATCTTGAGTAAGGGCAAGATTGGCGGGAAAAGGTGATAATGCTAGGGAAAGCAAAAGGCGGTAGGAAAAGAGGAAGGCGTAACCTGGGATGGATAGACTCAGTAAAGGAAGCTACAGCCCCGAGCAGGCCGGTCGAGGACTCTTTGGAAGCCATCAGTTCGTAAAGTCACCATTAGCGGAAAGAACCAGATCCTCAGACCAACAGTAGAAACAGTTAAGCTGGGACAATATTTCCCTACCAAAATGCCCAGAATCCCCCAGTCAGCATGATGGTTCGGGGAATTCTAAAAAGCTGTGGTCTTAAAAAAGATAAAGGAACTTTTCCAAGCTATGGGCTTCAATTAGCAGCAAAGCCGGTGGAGGGACAGTCAGGATGCGACGTTACCCCTCCCAGCTCTCCCATAGGGCTCTAGAAACGCATGCCCCCTCCACCCCCACCCCATTTTGCCCTGCATCAGAAGATGATTTTGTCCCCTGGGACTTAAAGCATCACCAACTTCCAAAAAATCAATACCATTTTTCATAGCAGTGGGGCTTGCTATGATGACGATCCATCCTTTTTTTGTAAACAAAAGAAAATCCGGACCCTGCCCATTTATTTTAGGGTCTGGGTGCATGACACACACACCACCCCGCATGCCCTACAGGTGCTGCATGAGGGAAAAGGACAGTGTGGGGGGGAACAAGAAGGGTCCCCCCTCTCCTTCACCCACAAAGAGGCTCCATTACAAGAGATGCATATTCAGCCACCCAGGAGGGATTTTGGGGTACCAAAAATATGATGCAGAAATATCACTTCCTCCTTCCTTCTTTTTCCATCTTCCTTCCCTCATCAACTCCCTCCCTTCCTCCTTCCTTCCTTCCTTCTATCCATCAACAACCTTCCTTCCTTCTTTCCTTCCCCTCATTGTCCTCTATCTCCTTTTTTTTTAAAAAAAAAACAATGTCCTAAAGAGGGAACAAATAAGCTGGATGGATAGCTCCATGTTTTAAGTCTCTGGCTGTGGGGCCAGAAGGTGAGGGTTCGATTCCCCATTGTGCCTAGCCAGGAGGGGAGCCAGCCTGTGGGGCCTTGTGGGCAAGCTGCACCATCCCAGAAATGCCCCCAGAAAGGGGGAAGGGGGGGAAAACCCACCTCTGAGTATTCCTTACCTGGAAAACTCTGAAAAGTCTCCATAAGCCAGAATGGTCTGGACAGACCAGGATTGTGATTTGAAAGAGAAACATAGACGCGACCCGGCTGACTGCCTTGGGGGGGTCGATGCAGCCCATACAGAGAAGGAGGAAAGGCGTTTGCATCCCGTGGCGAGTGCATTTGACACGACACCCCTGCAGGTGAGGAATCTGTGATGGCCCACAGGGGGTCACCCATAGCAGGCGCATAAAGCACATAGACAGATCTGTGGCAGACCGGGGGAAGTTCTGCAGAGGAAAAAAACAAGATGAGACAGAACTTAGGAGACGTTCTTTGTTCAGAATTGGGCCTCCCATAATTGCCGCTCCCCCCCCGTCATGCTGTTGTCCAAAACAAATCACATCTACTTCAGCGTTCAACAGGTTTCAAAGCGATGCCTCCCTGGGAGTTCAGGCAGAGATGTAACTCTGATCAGGATTGTGCCCCCCTGAGGCACAGAAACTGGGCAGGGTGTGAGGACCAGCTGGTCCACATGACACACGCCATCGTTCAGGCCTCCAACAGAGCAGGACAGTCGGGGATCCGAAAAGGGGGGAAGAGTGCCACTGCTGACCCCCTGGATTCAGCCACCCGAGGCAGCTGCCTCCCTCCAGCAAAGCGTAGGATCGGTGGACAAGGCTTGCCGCTTTTTCCAGCTGGGGTGGCCGCACGAGAGAAGCTTCTCCTCTCTGGCTTTCTGCCTGGAAGAAGCGTAGGAGGGAGGGGAGGGAGACCCCGTCCTCCCACGCCTCTCCCCCTTGCAACCCCTGAGCCGTTTCCACCCACCAGCCACGGAAGCAGCTCAGTGACACAAAGGGCTCTCTAAACATTTCCTTTGGAAATCCATGGGAATCTGTCCGGCCTCCCCTCCTGGGAGACGAGCACCGAGCGAGGAGGAGGGGCCCAGAGGCGAAGGGTGAGCCGAGGTCTCCCCTACAGAAAGCCTGCAAAGAGAGAGAGAGAGAGAGAAAACAGAATTGAGAGTTTAATTCCAGCCCACTCCTCTGTTCCCGCTGTTGTTCAGCTGCCTGCCGCACACTCTCTGTGCGCGTGTGCCAAAAGTTCCCCTTTCTCAGGCTTTGATTTTCCTCGACAGCTTGCTACAGCCTTCAACATCTCGCCCGGACTTCCCTCTGCCTCCCTCTGCTCCCCATTTCCCAAGAAACTGGGGGACAAAGATAGCGTTTCCCCCCCCCAGACCACCCCAGGCAGGGGGAAGCAAATCTGGGCACAGTCGTTTTTGGTCAGCTTCTCTCCACCTAGATCTCCGTGTGCTTCTAAAGATTATTTTTTTCTGGGGTCGTGCAGAACTGCCATCAAGGAGATTGCAAAATAATTTCTTTTGGGTGTGGGTGGCAAGAGAAGAACCTGGATTGGGAAATACCGCCCCCCAAAAAATCTTGTGCCGCTTTGCAGAGGGCTCTGGGGTGCGCTTGTGCTTTCCATGAGGGAGCGTCTATCACCCCCCCAAGGAGGTTTTGAAGCAATACAGGCAGCTGGATTGGCCCATACCAACAAAAGAGGAACAGGTCTTTTGTAAAGTGTATGGCTCTAAATTGCCCATTCAAGATCCATCTGCCCTCACATCCTTTGCATGCAACAGTGCAGGCTTTCTGGGAGAATAATATAATTTTTCGGGCAGTCTAGAGCCAAGCTGTAAAGGGGACTTCGTCTTTTTAAAGAACTGGGTAGCTCTTTGCGATGGATCGGAGGGAGCGACTCTGGGGTTTCATGATATATACGGCATCTCAGTGGAAAACTTGAGATTTATCTCCTGGGACCGGGTGCTAAACCATGGGTCCAAGAATGGACCCAGAATTCCTGTTGTTTTCATCATGAAGAGTTTGGCCATGGTTGGGTCCCCCGTTCCACCCCGACCCCCCCGGCCACCTTGGGTTCTTTGGCTGTTTAAAACAACAGTAGCAAACTCAGAAAGATCTGAAGCAAGGCGGGTGGGCTATGGCTTCCTTGCATCGCAGCCGTGGTGTATGTTTGTGGGTGTGTCCCCGAGATGCTGCAGAACGGGGCAGAGCGAGACACAGAGATATCGCATTGTGCGTCGCAACCAGTTGAAGGGAACACGAGAGACAGACCCTAGCAGGCAACCGCAGGAACAGGGGAAAGATGGAAAAGGCGTTACTGACCCTTGGGACCACTCCTCTTTCTGGAGCAAGTGGTTTCCACAGAAGGTCCCAGGACGCAGGGGCCCATGGGAGGTGTTGTCGATGTGGGAGGAGGTTTGGAGGGCAAGGGGGGGGAGTTCAGTTCAAAACGGGGGCCACGAGATGGTGGGTCGGCCAGCTAGCCCAACCTGACGTCCCTGGGAAATGCCATGAGAACTTTGGAAAAACTCAGAAGCACCCAGAATCCCTCAGCCAGCAGGGGGATTATGGGAAATGTAGTGTGGGGGTGAAGCACTTGGCCCGCTGGCTTCCCTGCCTGCCTGCCTGTCCTCTCCCTCGGTCTCTGTTTGTCCAAACCCTCGTCTAAGTCTGCCTGTTCCTCCGTGCGGGCTCCCCTTGTCCGTCCCTCGCAGACCCCAGCAAACGAGGAGGATTCAGAGTGGGCTTTGGGTCCGGAGCGCCCCCCACAGGTGCCCTTCCCGCCGGCTTGCCCTTGCAAGGAGAGTCTCTTCTGAAGCCATCAGCGAAAAACTCATTCAAACCTTCTGGAAGGAACCCAAGAGGATGATGTGTCCAGTCCGGACGTTGGGCTCAGAAAAGTCTTCCCCGTGGGAGGGGGATTTTCGCCACACCTGCTATGCAGAAAGCCATAGAGAGGAATGATGTTTTCCCACCCAAAGTTAACCTAATTTATCATGGCTAAGGCCCGATGCGGTCTTTGCTTTTCTCTCCCGGCTGCTTCGTTCCTCCTACCTTTCTCCCAGCTCAAGGCAGCCTTTGTCCAGGGACTCGGTTTTATTTTTAAAGCAGATAGACCTTTTCTTTTTCCCTGGAGGCCCTCCTCTGAGCAGCGGGTTCCAGGAGTTGTAGCAGAGAAGGGGCGAAGGTTAATTGTCCAAGCTCTGGGAAAAGGAAGACGCTTTGGTCTCCTCCAGAGCAGACGGAAAGGGCTCTGCAAAATGATAGGAAAGGCTCACGCACCAGCCTTCCTTTGTCCTTGTGGGATGATGCCCTTGTCGGTGCGCTCATTGGAATATCGTGCATGGTGAGTTCCTCGGCCCCACCATCGGGTGGCTTTTCTTAGAATGGAGACCAAAAGTTGGGCCAGAATACCACGGAACAGAACCAAATTCCTTGTGTCTTTCTTCCCTTTCTTATGGAAAGCAGTTTCTTCATTGCTATGAACAGCTGGTTTCCACAATTTAAGACTCCTTGGCAGAGCATTGGGGATACAGGCAGGCAGCCACTGGTCCAGCATGACCCAACTCTGTACTTGGGGCATTGCCATGCTGAGCCCAGAGCCCGCAGGAGCAAGGAGTGGAGGAGAGAGCTGTGCTATTTTGGGCGGGTGGGTGCGAAGGACGGGGATGGTCAAGGTTACCCAGTAACTCTTCCATCGTGCATAAACAAGCAACATCCGTGCCAAGGCTGGTGCACCATGGGCTGGCAGGGATGGGAGATACCTGAGGGCCAAGCACATCTGCATTAATCCCAATGCTACCTTTCATGTCCCACTTTCATGAAAACGGTGCCACCACAGAGAAATCTAAGAGCTACTTCCCACTTTGGCACAGTATCTAAGCACTGGGATGCAGGAGAAAGCCGCTCTGCTGCTCACAGTCCCCCACCCCCACGTCAACAGGGTCCGCAGACCGTTGAGCTGATTTGTCTCATGCGCATTTCTGCAAAAGCATAGGCGTTGGGTTCATGGGGATTATGCTTTGATTCCACATCACCCATAAACCCAGGATGAAGCCAATCTCACTCTTTCCCAACAGCGGCTGCCACCAGCGGCTCCATCCTGGTAAACCCCCACCACCCCACTGTGCCTATTCACCTTTCACAGTGCATGAGTTGGCATCTCTTCTAATGGTGGTTGCATGTGTTGTAGAACGGAGCATGGCTTGTATGTTGCATGTGACTTCCAGAGTCATCAGGGTGGCCCTACATGGGCGCTTCCAAGGAGGGAGGTCTCCCCATTCCACTCTTTCACAGGCACGCTGAAGATACACCACAAACTCTTCCTACCGTGTCTTACCCACCCACCTGAGATAACCCCCTAAACCTCCCCAAGCTTGCCAGATTGGTTGGACCTCTCTCATGCCAAAGGCCATTGGGGGAGAGACCAGTCATGGCTTGGTCTCCCTGCATTCCCAGCACTCTGTAGCACCAAGTCAGTGGGGTTCAAACTTTCTTGAGAAATCCTTAGGCGTTCCTTTAATCAGATCCATCGTGATAAGTAGCTCACTGGATCCTCGCTGCTAACCAACCACCCTTAGAACATATGTCAGTGTTTGAAGACGCCATCCCACAGATTGAAGTTAGACTCAACAGGCCTGGGACTTAAGGACTGGGCTCCCGGTGGGCATGGTGAAAAACTGCGATGGAGAGAATCCATGGGTAGGTGCTAGGCCACCAAACATAACAAAGGTCCCAATCCAAGGAAGCAACAGGCGAGCAGCAGGGCTACGAGGAAATAGGAAGTCAAAGCCAACTAAGGTCTTCTGACCTTCAAGGCATAAAGCAGCAAGTGAGGACAATGGGGCAGCACCATGGAGAGCTCCTAAGCCGCCACCGGCCTCAGCAAAGCCTAGAAGCCTATCTGTCTGCACTGCATTGTTACAGCCGTGAGATACCCCTTTCAGAGCCCTGGCCTCACCCCCTACACAACCCTCGGACCCATAGCTCAGTGAAACATCACTTAGGAGTTCTCTACTAGAGAGAGAAAGTGCTCAACTTCGGCTCCTCCAGAAGGCGCCCCTTGAATCGCTGTCCTTCAGCCATGCTAGTTGGAACATCCAGGAGATGAAGCCCGCCGGATCCTGTCAAGAGGCTAAAGGCTGAGCACCACTAAATGCAGAATAGGCCCCAGAATCCATGTTTCCATGAGAGAGAGAGTCGACCTAAAGAGGAGAGCAATGCTCGGAGGTGTGGGAGCCACTGCTGTAGCCCGATCCTGGGGCGCGGTTGGTTCATAGGATCTGGTTGACCGTATGTGACCGCTATGGGTTCCTTCGCGGCTGAGCCCTCTGGTCTGAAGCTCTCTGTTTTTATAGCGTCCAGAGTTGACCATCTTTGCTTTGGACTTTCCACGCTCCACAGTTTGAGTAACATGAGCCCCAAACTCACAACTGTGCTTCTGTTCTTGTCTTTTTTCTCTACTTTTATTTTATTTTATTTTTGAGTCGCAGGCAGGAGGACCAGCTGCTGCCAGACTCAAGGCGCAGGGACCCCGGGTCAGCCTCGAGCTGATTTATGGGATGCCTCCAACCACCCAGAAAAAGCACTGTTTGCATTTTTTGAAGGGGGGGGGGCTCCCTTCAGATGGTCTGGTTGGGAAGAAAACATGGGTGACCCTGGCCAAAAAAGACATCTTAAAACGTCCTTTTTTAGCCCTGAAGAGAGACAGGCGAGATTAATAGCTTGGAAGGGTAGGGTTACCACCCAATCTGTTTTCTCTTTGATCTCATTATTTCAGTTTGTACATTCCGATCTGGCTGTCTTTCGCATCAGCCAAACCGTCTGAAATGTAGCATAAGCAAGAAAGCTCTTTTTAAAAAAAATAAGGAGGTCCAAGATCAGGGAAGAGCGATTTAGGAATGAGCATGAAGGGACCCTGAACCCATTTGCCATCTTTCCCTCCACCCCATCCTTTTAATGATTAGCCATCGCTTCCCTTTCCTTGTGTAAAATCAGGAGTTAAAGCAATAGTGTAACTTATAGATCGTCCGGTCCAGCGTGGGTGGGCTATGCCTTGTTTCCTGGTGGGTGGAGAAGCATCCCTGAATATGGCACGGCTTGTATCCACCTACCCCCTTTTTTAAAAAACACCACGTAGAGCTTGGAGACTTCTGTGTCTCTTGGAAACCTCCCCTGTCTAATCCAAAGAGGGGACGACCCCTTGAAGGTTGTACATACATACCGAGGGGAAACTGCCACTGGGTCTCCCCTTGGCTGCATGCCTTGAGCTCTGAAAGACCGCAGGAAGGAAGGGGGTTTTATTCATAGGCATTTGTTCCCGTCTTTCTGCGCAGAAGCCCAACGGCGGCCATACTATGCCGATTACTCGCCCGCCCGGAGGTACATCCACACGCTGTGCACCAGCCACTACCTGGACCTCTTCATCACCTTCATCATTGGGGTGAACGTCATCACCATGTCCATGGAGCACTTCAACCAGCCCAAGGTACCGCCAGCCATCCCTTTCTCATAGGAGAGCTTCACCGCTCAGGAGCAGTCTTTCTGCTTGAGCACACAGAACCACCCGGTCCAAATCCCAGCGTCTCTCGTGGAGACCATTTCAGAGAGCAAACCTTAAAGAAGGACTTTCTCCACTGGGGTATTTGTTGCTATGATATGTGGTAATGGGTTGGAGAAGTGGATCCCCACTGTGGGTCCCCAGATGTTCTTGGACTACAATTCCCAGAAGACTTCACCACTAGCTGTGCCAGCCAGGATTTCTGGGAGTTTTGGTCCAAAAACCCTTTTTTGGGACCCAAAGTTGGGACCCACTGGGATAGACAGATGGTTCAGCAGTCTGACATCCTAATATCCTGGATTAACATAGGCATCACGCTCTGGGTGCAGGCTCCCTCTGATTCCCCAGATTGAGCACACAACTGATTCAAACATGCCTTCCCTGACCCTGACCCGGTTATAAGTTTCCTGAAAGCATCTAGATGACCTCCGTTGGGGACGGCACACAAGGGGACAGTCAGTCATCAAATGCAGGTTATATCGCAGGCAATGAGAAAACCGGAGGCCAGAATCTTAAGAGGGAACTGGGCAAGTAGTTTTTGCCCTTTTCTGGCCCATCCGTGGCATAATCCTAGCATCTTAGAATACTGGAGTCGGAAGGGGCCTCCTAAGGCCATCTAGTCCAAACCACGGCTCAAGGCAGGGATCCCAATCCAAGCAGACCTGACTTTCAAGTTGTTTAACTTCTAGAGAAACTGAAGTTCTTGCACAGGGCGCTGGCAGCCTTAGATCAGTGCCTCGGAAGAGGAAACTCCCTGAACCTCCTAGCTTGGGGACTCTGGGTGTTGTAGTCTGTTCCAGACTCAAGTCTTAGACAAGGAGTTTTCCAGCCGGAGCAGTGTTGCTGCACGGGACTTCTGCCGGGCTTCTTTGGCAGAATGTGTAGCCAGGGACTTGTTTAGCCTACACAAGGCCAGGGAAAAACCTCTATGAAGACAACGTCCGTGTTGTGGACTTGGGAGGTGGGCGGGAGGTCAAGCGGGGCTCACCGTTGTGCAAACGACCCCACCCTAAGACGTAGCTCTGGTTTCCTTGTAGTCTCTGGATGAAGCCTTAAAGTACTGCAACTACGTCTTCACCATCGTCTTTGTGATCGAAGCCGTCTTGAAACTGGTCGCCTTTGGGTTTCGGAGATTCTTCAAAGACAGGTCAGGGGCATGTCTTGCTGCTCGTTCGGAGGGGGAGGGAAGACAGCCTAGCGTGGGTTAGGGTCAAGCAGTCCACTTGGCTTGCTTCAGAATGTGGGCACAATCCTGCTCCATCATTATGCCTATGGAATGGTCCATCGCATGAGCAGCTCCGCCTCGGGTGGGCTCGGGCCCAAAGATATCTCCAGCAGGTCCTCATATTCAAATAGAAGCCCATTTCCCTGTGAACTCTGCTTAGGCTTAGGCGGTGCTCCACCTTGGGCTGGGCCCTGTCCCACAAAGTTTATTTGTTTTATTTTTAGTGGTTTGTTGTTTTCATTTTGATACTGCCCACCTGGCCAAAAGCCATTCTGGTTGGTTTAGGAAATGAAGAAGCACACAAAAAACATGGTTAAATATTCAAAGATTCAAGACAGAGACAGAATAAAAATAAACAACACATTAACATACATTTTACATACATAAAGGGTCAGACTAGAAAAACTGAACACATTTTTTTGGTACAGAGTATCTTCAGACAGTGAAAGAGGCCCGTTGGCCAGAGGGCATTATTTTCTCCACCTACGTATCTTGCATTTAGCATCCTTTGCTTTCAGATTTGTGACAGAAGAAATCCTGTTTTGAGAAGCAATCAGAATCTGGGTTGACCCTAAGCGCCAAGGGCTTGGAAGAGTGGTCATGCTGCCCTCAGCTTCCAGGGTCTTGTGAAAGCTTACCTGCCAAGACTCTCAGCTGGTCCAGGGTTCAAATCCTAGAATAGGACAGTCAGGGTTCAAATCCTAGAACAACCAGCAAGGGTCTGAGATTTGTCCTGGCTAAAAGGGAAGCGCAAACTCAAACCAAGATCCGAGACAGCATTCAGGAAAAGACCTCAATGCCTTCCTCTTCCTCCTCCTCCTTTTTCTCCTTCCACCCTTTTAAGATGGAACCAGCTGGATCTGGCCATCGTCTTACTCTCCATCATGGGCATCACGCTGGAAGAAATTGAAATGAACGCCGCGCTTCCGATCAATCCCACCATCATTCGCATCATGCGGGTGCTCAGAATTGCGAGAGGTGAGAGTGGAGAGGAGGGGGGGGCTTGACAGGGTCCCTACGGACAGTGACATTCTATGGGTGTTTCCCAGAAAGAAGCCCCATTCAATTCACCAGGAGCTTTTAAAACACTGGTGCTTGTTTGGGGGCCTCTCTGGCGATTTAAAGATATGCAGCCACTGACAATGGAGGCTCCATCCTTTTTGACTCCGTTTCCCCTTTACATTCCAGTGCTGAAGCTACTGAAAATGGCCACAGGGATGCGGGCGCTGTTGGACACGGTGGTCCAGGCCCTTCCCCAGGTAAGGGTGCAAATCCTGTCCACCAGAAGATGCTCAGCCACGAAAGATATCCTTTTGCAAGGCACCACGCTGGCTCGTTGACCTTGCTTCCAGGCCTGGCTGATTATTTCAAAGTGGCTTCCCATAATCTGCTCTTCAAACCTCCTTTTCAAAGAACAATGTGCATTTTAAGGATTGCATTTTTTTTACACACATACCTCTTAAATTTTGTAATATGCTCTACATACAAAATTTTCCATCTGGACCCTCCCCTTCCTGGCCTGGCGATGCTGGCAGGATCTTCAGCCCCCTCGCCTTCTTCGTTCCAGCGTGATAAATCCCTAGCAGCTTACTATGCAAATCCATCAGGGTGTTTGCTTTGTATAATTGAGACAGCATGCAGATTTTTGCTCAGCCTGGAATTTCGATTTATTTTTTATCTGTTCAAGCTCAGGACATAACGCTAGTCGAACTCAGGGTGGCTCGGCTCGGAGCGACATCGCTCGTGGTCGTTTTCCCTGCCGTGTGGCAATGTTAAACATTTGGAGTTTCAAGCCCTGGGACCGAGTTAGCTCCCGCCCCCCCCCAAATCTCACTTCTGGAAGTCTCTCCGTGGGAGGCCAATCACCTACAACTTAACTCCATTACCAGAGAGCAGGGGAGTAAAGGCTGACACTTATTCATGACAAAATAATATCCATTCCAGTGATTTTTTTTTAAAGAGAGTGGACATGTAAGAAGCAGAGAGGGATCAGCTTTTGGGATGACTCTGCTGGCTTTCAGCTGGCTTACATCCCCTGGCATCCCCTTTGCATGAGCATCCAGTGGTGTAAATGCTGTTTCCACAGGGCAGGATCCCATTTCTAAAAGGGACACTGCATGCCTGCTGCAGGGGAGAATCTGGCAACAAAGGTGTCTCCTCCCCNCCGCCTCAACAAGGTTGAGTTTTCACAGCTTGGAAGGGACGTGCTGCATTACTGAAAACATGTTAATATCGTTACTTTGCATAACAAGGGCTCATATTCATTCCACAGAGGGACAGGATGACATTCTTTCCAGGTGCAAGATGAGCAACTTTTCTAACGGGGTGGGGGGGGTGGGGTGTCTTCGGATTTGCAGTTTGGAAGACACGGTGGCAGAGTTTTGCATTTTTGGGTTAAACTCTTCTAGCTGCGCCACAGAAGTTCAGGGATTGACAGAGCAGTATAGCTTCAAGTTCCTTACAGCAGCCTCCCCCCCCCCTTTTCCCATTAACTGGCCCTTAACAGTCTCAATCACTCAATCTGAGACATTAGAATGAGAACGAATAAAACGAGTCTTTGCTTATCGCTGTAAACAGATCAAGGGGCAAACTAACAAACAGGACTGCTTTCAGCAACAGGCCTCGGCAGACTAAAGAGAAGGGGGAAAGCCACAAAGCAGGAGAGGTGGGGCTCTTGGCTGAATTCAGAGGCGGGAAAGGAATGGTAAGTGGGTGCTGGATGGATGGACAGTCCTCCTAGCCCAGGAAGGTCCCGCCCAGCCAAACCCACTAGAAAGCAGCCTGCGAGGTTGCAAAAACTCCCAAGAGATAATACCAGGTTAGAGAAGTAGGTTTTATCATCCCACAGTCTTCCTGGGCAACCGAGAGGCAGAAACCGGACTCTCTCTCTTGCTTTTGGCATCCACAAGGCACGACTCCCTCTGTTTCCCCCCCCCTTCTTCTTCTTCTTCTTCTTCTTCTTCTTCTTTTTAGGTAGGGAACCTCGGCCTTCTCTTCATGCTCCTCTTTTTCATCTACGCGGCCCTGGGAGTGGAGCTGTTTGGAAAGCTAGGTGAGTCCTCTTCCTCCTCTTCCTCCTCCTCTCCATCTCCTACCTCCGCAGCCCCTCTTCTGGGGCCATGATCTCTGCGCTCTCCTACCTCTGCAGCCCCTCTTCTGGGGCCATGATCTCTGGCCCGGGCCCCTGCAGAGAGGCCAGAAGGGAGGCCAGAACAAAAACGCCAGGCACCGAGCGTCCCTTCCCGAAATGCAGGTGCATTTTGGAATGGAAACTCTCCAGCTCGACTCCTGGTGGCGGTGTGTCCATCACACACACAGCTGGTAAACCCTCCATGTTTGGTGCTGGATTTCCCCCGAGGTCTCCGCTTTCAAAGGAGGAGCGTTCCACCTTAAAGCATGCCAGCTGTTCCCTATAGCAGTGGTCCCCAACCTTGGGCCTCCAGATGGACTAGAGCTCCCAGAAGCCTTCACCACCACTTCTGCTGGCCAGGACTTCTGGGAGTTGAAGTCCAAGAACATCTGGAGGCCCAAGGTTGGGGACCACTGCCCTATAGAGTTACCAAATTCATTTCATTCAGCCCTGCGGCTTTCATCTTCCCCCTTTTCTCCCCGGACGGCTGGGTGCTGTTTCCCCCCCCCCATGCGGCCCTATTTCAAATATTGTGGGAGGGTCAACTGATATCACAGCCTCTAACCACTGAGCTCCTTCTACCACTAGCCAGAAACTGGGGGGGGGGCAGGCAAAGGGCATCCTCTGGGTCTCAAAACCCCAACCCTCACGTTGGGGAAGTCTACACTTGAGAGCGTCAAACGTGAAAATGCTGCAGCACTTGACTGACATTCCACGAAAAACAGGAAGGATGGAGCCTCTAGCTGGATCTGGACTACAATGCCCATGATCCACCGCTCTTCTTCATTGTGCCGTCTAGGGCCAAGGGAGGTGCTGTGCAATCATGTCTGGAAGGAGAACGGAAGGTTTTCAAACCTTGCAAAGATTGGGTTTTAGTTTGCTAAAGTTTTATACCCTTCCTCCCTTCCTTCTTTTCTCCTAGACTGCAGCGAGGATAATCCCTGTGAAGGCTTAAGCCGGCACGCCACCTTCAACAACTTTGGCATGGCCTTCCTCACCCTCTTCCGGGTTTCTACGGGAGACAACTGGAACGGGATTATGAAGGTCAGCCCCAGGGAGCTGGCTGGCGCCTGCCCGAGAGAGAGCCTGCTTTCATTTGTGAAGGGTAAAGGGTTGGGGTGGCTCCAGTCATAACGGTCCCTATTGACCAGAGGGCAGAAAGTAACTTTTTAAAAGTTTTTAAAAGTTCACAAGAATAATTCAAGGTTGGGAAAATCCCCTCCCTGACTCCAATGGGAACGGCAGCTAAGCTCAGAGGGAAATTGAAGTGGGGGTGGCAGATTCCCGCATCAGCCCTGTTCGTGAAAACATCCCGGAGGTTTTTGACTCTGCGCAAACTCTGGGGCCAACATGTGAAGGCTACTCATGATATGCAGAACCTCTGACCGTCTTCTTCCTCTCGCCGACGTCACCAGGACACGCTGCGGGAATGCCACCGGGACGACAAGCACTGCCTCAGCTACCTCCCCATCATCTCCCCCGTCTACTTTGTCACCTTCGTCCTCATCGCCCAGTTTGTCCTCGTCAACGTGGTGGTGGCCGTCCTGATGAAGCACTTGGAGGAGAGCAACAAGGAGGCGAAGGAAGATGCGGAGATGGATGCCGAAATCGAGCTGGAGATGTCCAGGGGGGTCAACACCCCGGTCAGAGTCCCCGAGGGGAGCCCGGCCCTCTCCAAGACCGGGTCGCCCCTCCTGCTGAAGCACCAGGCACCGGTAAAATGATCATCCTCAGTTGAACTGCATTATTTCTTGAGGGTTCTAAGAAGGAAGGGAAGGCACAAGGTGTGGGCCTGCCCCACAGATTCATCTTTGTGTGGTGCCCATGGGTTCCAAGGCGGTCACACCAATGTTTTATCAAGCTAGATGGAAAATGTCTGGCCATAATTTGTCTCCCATAATTTGTCTCCCAGAATCCTTGTCTCTGAGCCAAGCTTGGACACAAGGCCCTTTTTGCTTGGTGAGGCTGCCTTCTCTTTTGGAAGGACGTCTCAGAGGGGACCTCTATAATCGGGAGCCGGCCATAGGCACACGGGCGCACAGCCCCGCTCGCCTCCTCCTCCTCCTCCGCCACTCAAGGCAGACTTAAGCATCGGTGTCGGGATCAGCTGGCCCTTTCGTTTTCCTTTTCCCTCCCCTGCCATTCTTCTTTTCAAGTCGTGCCTTCTAGTTGGGGAGCTTTCAGGCAGGGACTGTGCGGTTACTGCCTGTAAATCGGGAGGCTCCTCCAGGAACCGGCCCCAGATTATGGGGCGTCTTTTGCACCAGCCACTCGGCCGCCCTGGCTGAACTCTGTGCCTCTTTCTTGGCCTCCTCCACGGGACGTCCTGGTACAGCCGACACTCGTGTAGGGAGACCTGTTTGTGCGTCCCCGTGCGCGGCACACCTTCCACTGCCCTAAGCACCCCATGAAACCTGGAGAGGGGGCCCCCATGTTTGGGGCAGTGGCTCGGAGGGGCCGCCGTCCCTCCCGCTGACGCGTTTCTGTCTCCCTCGTTTTGTTCCCCCGAAGGCGTCTCTGAGCTGTGAGAGCATCTCTCTCGCCATCCCGGACTTAGACCTTCTGCTGGAGGGAGGGAAGGACCCGATGATGATGGAGTTTGCGGGCTTCCGCTCTTCTCCTCACCGCCGTCTCCTGACGCCCTCCCGCCAGGCCCCCGCCGGAGAGGCCGAGGTGACGGTATGGTACCCGCCGTGGCTTTCCTCGTTTTCTCGCCCGTCCTGTTTCCGTGGCTGTGTGGCTCAGTAGTCGTGGTGGTGTGAGCAGCATCCATGTGGCTCCACTCTCTGGTCCTTCTCTCTCTCTCTTTTGCGCGGCGCATCTGTTCTCCAGCCCCTCGATGGCTTTGCACATCGCACAGGTGGGCTGTAGAACGGACCCCGTTCTGGAGGACCGGCTGGCCCTTCTCGCTTGGTGTAAATAGAAGCAAAGGGGTGGAAAGGAGGAGGAAAGAAAAGGACAGACTAGCCTTTGGCATTAAGGAGCTGGCTGACCATGCACAGCGGTGGCACCAGAGAAACACAAACACACACACACACACACAATTCTTATCATAGAATAATAGTTCATAGAATCATAGAAGGAGGGAGGCCGTCGGTTCCAGCCCCTCCTTGCTCAAGGCAGGAATCCAAGCCAAAGCAGATCTGACACGGGGTTTCCCAGTTTCCCCTTGGATGCCTCCAGCATTATTGCTTGCCATCTTCCAAGGTCCTGGTTCCCATTGTCATACTGCTCTAACCACGAAGAAGTTTTCCTGATATATTTAGCCGAAATCTGGCTTCCTGTAACTTGAGCCCATGATTACATGTCCTGCGCTCTGGGATGCTGGAGAACAGATCCTGCCCTTCCTTTGCAGGACCGCCTTTTGAGTCTTTGAAAACTGCCCTCCTCTCTCTCCCCTCCGTCATCTTTTCTCAAGGCTAAACCTGCCCAGTTCTTTCAGTCTTTCCTCCGAGGGCTCGGTTTCCAGCCCCCCCCCCAATCATCCTAGTCGCCCTCCTCTGAACTTGTTCCTATATATCAGCATCCTTCTTGGAGTGTGGTTTCCAGAACTGGACATGATACTCAAGATGAGGCCTAACTGGGGCTGAATAAAAGGGGAACGGAGACCTCACAGGATTTGGAGACGATACTTCTGTTCGTACAGAACATACAGTTGATGCTGCTATTGGAGTATCAGCATCAATGGCATGTTTCAAATAACCTGCCCTTAGACTTTAAGATCCATTAAGGTGAGCCAGAGATTCCCCACCACACTCGTGGCCCTTCCAACCACCAGTCACAAAACAAAGCCAGTCCATTTGCAAGCTACAGGAGGCGTGAAAAGCTCCTGCTTTAGCCATTGGACATTCTCAGTCCTTAACGACGGGCGGTCTTTTCGCGTTTAGGTTGGCACACTCGAGGGGCATACGCTGCATGGGTTTCTGAGAACGTGCTGTATTTCAAAGGGGGCTGAAAGAACCCGTTCCAGAGAATTGGCATCACAGCAGTGCCGGTAGTGGTGAGGCTGAAAGCCAAAGGACTGGGTCGTGGGAGCTCAGAATCTCAAGCTCCCAGAGACATGACGCTTTAGGGCAGACCTTTCAACCATTTTGAGCTGGGAGGAAAGCAGGCAAAATCTAGAAGAGCACAAAATAATGGGCTCACGGGAAAAGGGGAAGCACAGAGGGCGAAGCTGTGCTGCTTCTGCACCCCCTGTTCGTCTTCCTGTTCTAAATGTATTTTCTATAAGGAAAAGGAGATGAGTTTTAGCATCCAGGGATCAGAGTGAGAATGACAGCCTTCTGGCCTGCCTCTGATCACAGATCATATCCACTGGGATCCAGGAGCAGCCGGGGGGGGCACTCCTCCCTTTAACCCCCCCCAAGCATCCTGTGCGCAAAAAGTCCCCAAGTATCAGCTGTCCCTCCTGCATGTCCTCTGCCTCTTTTCTCCTGAAGCAGACCTTCTCGGAGGTGTATCGCTCAACGACCGACTGTGACTAATGGCCTTTGACAGATCTCTCTCCTCTGGACCTTCAAAGCGCTTAAAAAAAATTGAATAAAAGCCGTCCAAGTCAGTGGTCATGACTAATCGTTCAGTAATCACTTGCACAATTTAATTATGCACAGCCTGAAGGAAAAGTACATAAGGCTGTGCCCCCCAGAAAAATCTTACTGGGTGACCCATGCCCTCTGCTGTAATATTAGGATGACATCTCTCATAAATAAAATTTATAGCCAGCTAATACATATACCCATGTAATATTCTTCAGTATTCAACCATTCGGTCTTTTGTGGCTGCCTGTTTTTCTCCAAAGAAGTGTCCCATGGGGTGTGTGTGCGTGTGTGTGTGTCTGTTTTCCAGTTTTTTAAAAGGAAGGATCAGATCCAGACAGAGAAGTGTGCAATGGAGCGGACGGGAGGGCCCTTCCAACCTCCTCCCTAGGGAAGGCTGGTGGCCTCCAGAAAACTGCTGTAAAGCTAAGACTAAAACCCTAGAAAGGATTTGCTGCCCCATTGATGGTGGTGCCACCAGCCGGCGCTGCCTTTTCACCCCCCCACATCAAGCCTCCTCTCGGGTTCTGTGACAGGACATGGGTCTCAGCAGGCAGAAGAACCCTGCCAGCCAGAGGAGAGGCCGCACCTGCCGAGCCACCCGCTGGCTTCAAATCAGGTGGTCTGTGCGCACAGACTGTGGCGCCAAGGCATCTGCGTGGCAGGCTGACGCTTCCAGGCCTGTCCAACACACACACACACACACACACACACACCTCTCTCCCTGTGGAGCTCCCACACACACACACACACACACACACACCTCTCTACCTGTGGAGCTACCCTAGGCATGGATGGGAATGGATGGGAATTTCAGGTTGGGCGCACCCGCAGGACAATCCATCACGGGAGAAACAAACTTAGCCAACCGTTGTGTCCCGCTCAGCCTGCTTCCAGTCTAATCGCGTAAACACCCCTGTAACAGTAAGCCATTTGCGCACATCATCATTGTCAGAACAGTGGATGGTGGGGTCTCCAGGACAAGCCCCCCTCCTGTTCTTCCTTCAGGTTGGGCACACCCGCAGGACAATCCATCACGGGAGAAACAAACGTAGCCAACTGTTGTGTCCCGCTCAGCCTGCTTCCAGTCTAATCGCGTAAACACCCCTGTAACAGTAAGCCATTTGCGCACATCATCATTGTCAGAACAGTGGATGGTGGGGTCTCCAGGACAAGCCCCCCTCCTGTTCTTCCCCTCACCCAGTCTCCTCTCCTCTCGCTGACCTGCAGGAAGCTGCTTCCGGTGATGCCGCCCAGAACCTTCTCACCGTCCGCAAGATCTCGGTGGCCAGGATGCACTCCTTACCCAACGACAGCTACATGTTCCGCCCCGTGGCGCCAGCCAAGACCCCCTACCCGCTCCATGAAGTGGAACTGGAGGCTTACTCGTTCAAGTCGCCAAGAGGTACGCGTGGTTTTCATAGAATCCTAGAGTTGGAAAGGGGGACCTCTAAGGCCATCCAGTCCAACCCACCCTGGTTCAAGGCAAGAATCCAAGTCAGAGCAGATCCGACAGAGGATGGTCCCGTTTCCCCTTGAAGGCCTCCAGCGTTGGAGCGCTCACCCCCTCCCCTTAAGATCATGGGTTCCCTTGTCGTACTGCTCTAACAGTCAGGACGTTCCCCCTGATTATCCAGCCTAAATCTGGCTTCCTGTAGCTTGAACAAGCCAGACTGAAGCTGAAGATTAAGAAGAACTTCTTAAGCGTCAGAGCACTCCAACAACAGAACCGGTTACCACAGGGGGAGTTGATGAGCGCTCCAACCCTGGAGGCATTCAAAAGAAAACGGGACAATCCTCTTGTCAGATCTGCCTTTGATTTGGACTCTGAGCTCACATGTCGGACCCTGAGTTCGCCGGCTGTATTCATGCGTCTGTGGCTGTTCGGATAACTCATGCCGGCACAGTGGATGCTGAGTCCCTAAAACTCAAAAGGGAGTCCTGGGGGGCAGTGGAGATCTTAGGCACCAGCCGGGGTGCGTCTCCACCTTCAATGGAAACAAGGCCTGGTTCCATTTTTATTTTATTTTCACAGGTTCCATCAGCTCCGTTCACTCCCAGCCAGTTGGGACGTGCTCTTCCCTGAGGGTCCCGCGAGCCGCCTTCCGCCCAACCACTCCGCCTCCTCGCCATGAGGGGGGTGGCCCATGGAAGCTTCGACCCCCGCACAAAGCCCCACCATCTCCCAGTATCAACCGGCCGCTGTGTAGACAGGTGGGACCTCACACGTTCAATGACTCTTCTGCCACTAGGGGAGAAAAGAACCCGATATACCAATGGGGCGGGCGGGAGCTTTTCTCTTGCATCATCCCATCTGTCCGACATCATCTGCTTGTGCCTTTTTCCCTGTCCTGGAGGATCGTCCTCTCCTGGGGGCCGGCAGAGGTCCCTCGGGGGGACCATGTATGCCTGGCTAAGAGAAGGAAAGGGCACTCTCCTCTCCTCTCCCGGGCCCTACCATCATATAGAATAATTTGATTTATAGTCCAGTCTTTTTCATTAAGACATCAAGACGACCTCATCAAATAGATCAAAGTGCAGGTTGTTCACAATCACAAAATCGGTGGTTACAAAGGTCTGTAAATGTAGCAGAAGGGTAACTTCTGAAAGGGGTAGAAACGATTTTCTTTAGAAGATTTCACAAATCAAAAGGTTGTACTCACGAGAAATGCACAGACGGGGCCCCCATGTCAGCTTTCAGCATGTGCCAAGGCACAATGGGGGGGGGACTTGAGCGCCCCTTAGAACTGCTCTTTTGGCTGGATGTCACTGAGAGCGCCCCCGTAGCCACTCCTTCCACAACAGGGGGTCAGATCCACCCCTCTTGTGCCATGATGGCGCCCGTAAGGTCATCCCGTCTGAGGCTTGTTGGTGTTTAGTCGTGTCCGACTTTGTGACCCCCCATGGACCAGAGCACGCCAGGCCCTCCTGTCTTCCACTGCCACACCTGCGCATGAGTGGGAGAAAAGACTTAAGACCTCCAGAAACCTGTAGGGGTGTGTGTGTGTGTTGTTTGTGCTCATTGTCCCGAAATCTGTATTCTTTTGTGTTGCTCTCTGTATTGCAGGAGGCTGTTCAGAGGGACTCCCTGGATGGTCCTGAAGCAGAGTTAAAGGAGAACCCCCTAACGGAGCCCTGCGAAAGCCTTCCTCCCAAGATGCTGTCACAGAGCATCTTGGGGGGCCCTCTCCTCCAGGCGAGCCCCACGTCTCTCCCAGGGACACCTCCTCTGCCCCACGCCTCCCCCCAGAAGCCCGCCGGCACCCACACCTGCAAACCCCCGTTCAGCCAGCACAAGCTCGCCAGCCGGCCCCCCAGCTGCAGCAGCCACCCCGAGGGCTCCCTCTTCGAATCCTCCGACCTGGCCGACGAAGAGGTCAGCCACATCAACAGCTCCGCCCGGGGCTGGGGACAGCGGCCGGACGCTGGGGACCGGTCGGCAACCCCCTTGCCCTCGCCCGCTCAGTCCCCCGCCCCCACCAAGAACGGCAGCACCACCAGCCTGACTGCAGGGGGCGGTAAAGAGAAAGACTTGAAGAAGTTCTACAGCGTGGACACCCGCGGCTTCTTGGCCAAGCCAACTTGGGCGGACGACCAACGACGGCACTCCATCGAGATCTGCCCCTCGGTCATCGACAGGGAGCGTGGCTTCGCCGAGGCGGCGGAGGAGAGGAAGAGAACGCCTCTCCACCTCCCGTCCGAGTCCGAGTACCTCCACGGGGTTCGGCGGAAAAAGAAAATGAGCCCGCCGTGCATTTCCATAGATCCTCCCATGGAGGAAGAGAACAATCCCTCGACCCGTACCAAAGCGTCCGAGAACAGCCTGTTGAGGAGAAGGACCCCCTCCTGTGAGTCCACCGCTTACAGGGACTCCTTGGACCTCGCCGACAGCCAGCCGGGAGAACCCGCTTCGAAGGCGGAACGCCGGGCCCCGCCGCCCGCCTGCCGAGGAGAGCACTTAACCATCCCCAATTTCTCCTTTGATCAGCCGGATACCACCACGGGGACCCCCTCCGACCGCCTCTCGGACAGCGGTTTGGCCACCGCGCTCTCTGCAGACTCCCGGCCCGACGACGGCGCGGGGCTGGAGGTCCCAAAGGCAGACCTTTTGAAAGCCCAGTGCGGCCAAGCGGAGCGGAACCGCGAGGTTCCCGGGGGGCCGCGGAGCCCCCTGCGGAAGCACGAACTGGTCCCGGTGATCAGAGCGACAGAAGGTGGTGTGGACGAACCGGTATAGCTTCCGAGGGTGTTTGGGGGAGGGGGGGGAGCAGACCGAATGTGACTGTAGTAAGGGCTTTGCCACCAAAGAGTGGCTTTGAAGTGGAAAAAAAAAAGATTGCAAACTCATAACTCCGTGGCCGGTAACCTATCCCAAAACATTTCCGTCTCTCTCTCATTCTCTTTTAAGCGCTGTGAAGGTTTTATTGTTATTGTTGTTGTTTTAAAAAAAAAAAAGAAATCTAACGGAAGGTTAGTTTTAAAAGCAGCAACACAAGGTTCAGGGTAAGGAAAGGAGACTTATTTTCCCCTTTCTACACGGCACATGCGAGTAGCTTTTCCAATTGTTTTTTTTCCTTTTCCTCCCCCACGTCTGCCCCGATTTGGCCTCGATCACATTGATTTGGGTTTCGGGAGCCTTTGTTTTATCTTTTTTTTTTTTTAAAGGGGAAAAAAGGATTTTTTTAAAAAAAGAAAGAAAACCCACAAACTTTTTTTTTTGGACTTTTTGAAATAGCACCTTTTATTATTGCACGGAACGTTGTGACAGGAAGTGTCCAGGAGAGGCAAGTTGTATATTGTCTGTATATCAGCAGCTATTATAAATAGAAAATAATGTATTTGAAAAAAAAATTTAAAAGAGGAAAACATATACACATGCACACAGAAGAGCCACACACACATTCACATTTAAAAACTCTTCTCTCCATAATGCACACATTTTTATAGAGAACAGGGGACCTGATCCAGCTACAGTTAGGTGCACCCGCAGGGAAATGATGTGTTAGCGTGTTTGGAAAGCTTGATGTGGGTGTAGCCCCTCAATTAAGCTGCTAGTCTCCCCAGGGAGCTTTTATTTACATTAAAACCCCTTTATCCACGGGATCGTTATCCGCTGATTCACTTATCTATGGCCTGAAAATAGTAAAAAAAAAATTCTAGAAATATATATACATATTTCTAAAGATGAGGTTATCAGAACTGGCTCTAGAGGGAGCCAAAGACCACACTACTGTATATGTAGCATTCGCTATTAAAATAGTGTTTGCTCTAATCCACGTTTTCCAGCATCCACGGACAGGCTTGGACCCATCTCCCGCAGATATGGGGGATCCGATTATATGTTTTTAAAACTGAGAAGAGTGTTTTTCCTCCCCTGCCTCTAATAAAGGAGACTTTTTTTAAAAAAAAAAGAGAAAGCAAGGTCAGTTTGGGAAGCCAGGAATGGAAGAAGTAATGTATGTGTGAAAGAAACTCCATCCTGGAGGAACCACAGGAGGGGAGGGGAGCTCTGTAACCCGGAAGGGAAGAAAGAAAGAGCAGAATGGGTGCTCATCATTGCAGCTGAGGAGGAGCGCATTCGATGCGCTTCATGATCCTTGTTGTTTTCATTGGAAGTCACAAGCTCAGAGGCAAGTCTCGTGGAGTTCCAGCGGACTCAGCCCTACCAGGCCTAGGCTGCAAAGGTCAATTTGACCCCCTTTCCCAGGCATCCTCATCGTACTAACTTTAGCTGGATTGGGGCCTATTTATCTCCCCTGCCCTATTGCAGATCCACCACTCCCTTTCCTCCACCACCCCACGAACCTCGGGGGGTGGTGGTGTTGTCTCGTTAAATCCTAAGAAGAAGCTCAGTGCCGAAGTTTCCTGTTCTCTTCAGTTTTACCCACCACCACCACCACCCCCGTATACGCCTCCCCCTGTTCGACACATGCTGCACCCCCTCAATACCTATCATTCGGGCTTCACATCCCCACCGAGCTTTCTCGCCTTTCTCTCGACGGTCCTGTCTTTTTTTTGGATTTGAGGTCCTTGCTCCCAGAGACCATGGAAACCAAAATCACTCCTGAATTGTAGCCGGTGCAATAACAGTAAGTTATTCGTTCTTCTTAATGGGTACAGAATCCGTCCTTTTCTTTTTCAAATTGTTTTGCATATAATCAAGTGAGGAATGTTCTCTC